GTGGAGACATTACTGGTGTCCGCTTGAGCAAAATCGATGAACAGCGGGAGTATCGTGCTACAGTGCTATTTGAGGTATAATGATAAAACAGTATATCAGTTTTCAGTGTCCAACATAAAGATTTGATATTTGTGTATATTATGAAGTGATAATTGTATTGAATCTACTTAATGACTATCACCATAGTGGGGAGAAAGATTTTTGATGGAAAAGTTTTATGATGAAAACTTTTACATTTGTTTGTTTTGTTTTTGTTTTGGGAATATATCCGGCTATGCTCAGGAGTTACTCCTGGCTCTGCACTTAGGAATTATTCCTGGTGTTGCTTAGGGGAGAATATGGGATGCGGGAATTGAACAGGGGTTGGCTGTGTGCAAGGCAAGTACCCTGTCCCCTGTACTATCTCTCTGGCCCTAATGTGGAACTTTCAAGATCTTTCTCTTAGTACCTTTAAATATTCAGTACTATACTACTAATTTTAGTTTCCATGCTAGACATTATGACCTCATGACTTGTCTAATTTATGATTAGACATTTATAACTTTTGACCTCTTCAACCCATTTTCCACCCCACTCAGGGACAGTTTGTTCTTGATATTTATAAGCTTGGTGTTTCTTGGTTTTTTAACCCCAACATGTTGGTGAAATCATACAGCGTTTGTCTCCTTTGACGTATTTCAACTAATATAATGTCCTCAAGTCCACTTTATTAAATTGCTGTAGAAAGTATTACTTTTTTAAAACACTGGAGACTCCGGGATAGTGAATTTTCTTCAGAGGGGAGGAATATGGAAATCCAAATTTTTAGTCACACAATTTCTGGATAGGCATGGACTCAAAAGACAATTCCATTGATTTCTTTGTCTGGTTCCATCCAGGTGAAAAACCTTGATGCATTATGTTCATTGTTAAGTGAAGTTGCTATATAAAGCAGAAAATTAAGTATTGATCAGAGCATCATTTTTCTTGTATTTTACTTAACATTCAGATTGTTCCTTGATGTAAAGTTGTTCTAGGTGACTTTCTAGGTTTTGATTGTTCTGATAAAAATCAAACTAAGACAATATAGAGAGATTAATTATTTGTAAATTTTCTAAGTTTTCTGGAATCCAATCTAGACCAATCTAGATAAGTTTATAGACTTTTTAGACATTTGATCGCAGCTTCCTGCTCAAATATGGTTTTGATACCTATACATTGAACCTCTGCTCTTTTTTTATCACATGTAAATTTTCCTCTAAATTTTATCCTCAGAAGATCAGTTTGTCCCATCTCTTCTACTAGAAGTGATACTATCTCAATGTAACAAAGACATTAATACTTAAAAGTTAAATGACTCACACCAGATTGCAGCAGTAGACTGAAGAACCAAATCTTGACTTTGTATAACTTTAATACTTTTACTCTGTAGAAGGTAGAATTTTTGTCTTTTGGGGTTTTTTTTCCCCCTTAGGGTGGGGGAGGGTTTCCTTTTGTTTGTTTGTTTGGGGGCCCCATCTGGCAATGCTTAGGGGATTACTCTTGGCTCTGCAGTTAGGAATCACTTCTAGCAGATTCAGGAAACCATATGACATGCCAGGGACTTAGCCCAGGTCAACTGCAAGCAAAGCAAGTGCCATACCCTTTTTAGTATCGCTTCATTCCCAAATACTAGTTTTTTTAAATGAAGAACATAACAAATTACCTTCCTTTAATTTTGTCACTGTCACTGTCCTCCCATTGTTCATCAATTTGCTCGAGCAGTCCCAGTAGCCTCTTCATTTTGAGACTTGTTACTGTGTTTGGCATATTGAATACATCACGGATAGCTTGCTAGGCTTTGCCGTGCGGGCGAGATACTCTCGGTAGCTTGTTGGGCTCTCCGAGAGGGGTGAAGGAATCGAACCCGGCTCGGCTGGGCTGGCTGCCTGCAAGGCAGATGCCCTACCGCTGTGCTATAGCTCCAGTCCTATTTATTTTATCACTAAATTTTAGAATTTATTTCCAAAGCACATTAATTTTCTCAAAGTAATCTCTGTATGTGTTATATATATTATTAGGATTTATCTTATAAGGTACAAATACAGAATTTAATTATTTCTAAGGTAATTTCAAGTGAAGGTGTAACGTGGTGATAACTTGTCATTTAAATTAACACTAAATGTTTTTCTAAATATTTTCATAGCAAAAGATGCCATTTTATCATAGTAAATTGTAGTGATAATCAACATACATTAAAAGTGACAAAAGTATTTTAGTTGGAGAGAATAAATATCTAATTTATTATTCATGTTTATGAAGACATTAAATGAACGGCAACTTTTTAATTGTACATTCTGTTATTTTTCTGGTTTGATGATCAGTGAGAAGTAGAGAAAGGTAGTAAAATTGTATTCAAAGGTCTTGATTAAATTTATATGCTCCAGATGCCCTTTCTTGCCTCTTTTAATTTAGATTTTTTTTTAATATTTTTTATCAGAGGAAAAACGAACTGGGTCCCTATTTCAGTTACTCATTTTTAGCATGTAATTTTTAGTTTAATTGGAACTTTCACTTACCCTTTTAAAAAGCAAGTTAGAAGTCTCTTGACCACTTGAAACTTTAGAACACAATTCCTAAATGGAATATGCCACCTCTTAAATTTACTTGGAGATCAGACTAAATTGGACAGACTTTGAAATTTTTAGTCAGTTAACTCTAGAAGAATGTTTATTGATCTCCTAGATAACTATGATTCTTATGAACAGCTGGAAGATAGCAGATGGTGAAGAGAGAGAGGCCCCCCTCCATTTCCTCAATGTGGAACCATTTCCTAAATATGAAATGCTTGCTTAAGGCTTAATAACCAAAAGTCTCCTATGGATACTAAGCCCTTAGAATATACATACAAAGATAAAACTAAAGAGCTTTTAGGTGCATACAGAATATGTGGATTTGTAGTCTAAAGTTGTTTTCTACAATAAAGTCATTTTCTACAACAAAGCAAGCCTCAAAATGATTTTTTTAGAAAGTTATGCCCAAAGCCTAGACTTTTGAAAGTAGTGAACATGTGAAGTAACATAATGGAGAAATATTTTAGATAGATTTTTCAATCATGGGCAAAATAAATTATTGGGTATAAGCCAGTATTTAAATATATTATTTGATCCCTCGGAAAACACAATTTGATTTTATTTGCTTCTGCCACTCAGCCTCTAGCTTCTAATTCATGCATGAACCCCAGAATTTCTAATTTCATCAAATACTGACTCCCGAATTATCCCTAAGTTTGAAAATTGGTAGTTGGAGTTGTGTTTATTTTAAGATTATCTGATTAGCAATATTCTGAAGACTTAAGTGCCTTTTTACAAACAAGTGTATACTTGTACAGTGGAGCTCATACAATAGTTATGTCATGGAAGATACTGTTCTTACTGGTAAAATAATTGTAAAGAGAAATTGGTACAGAAAATTTATTCTGCTTCTCTTTTAATTTTTGAAACATTCAAATCAGTTATTTGGAAAGGTGTTTTATTATTTAGCAGTGTATACTATTCCTGATTTAAGTTATTTGAATTTCATCAAATTCATTTATATTTTGTCTTTAAATTTTTATGTTAAGAATCTGTGGTTTACAATGCTATTAATAATTAGTTCTCACATTCATGATTCCGACATTATAGCCATCACCAGTGTACTCCTTCCTCTCCCAAAGACCCCAAGACTCCTCCTTCCCAAGCTCCCCCAACTCAATCGCATTTATATCTGTTTTAACTCTAAAGACAGAAAAATAATAAATGTATTCAAAGTATTGATTATATTAATGCTTAAGCAATTATCTTCCTTGCTATTGTTTGGCATATTGGAGAGACTCTAAAATAATTAAGTTAAGCATTAGATTTTTTTTGTTTTTTGGTCCCACATGAGTAACTCTGAAACATTCTGTTCTTTATCATGTATTTAGTTATACCTTAAAAAATAAAAAAGAAGAAAATAATAATTATCATTTCCCATGGAACAAACCTATGAAGTATAATGATCTTTATTTTAAAAGATTTTTACAGATTTAAATATCCTTGAGTCAGAAAAGTACGCAGTAGATATTTGGACACCAAGACTGTCAGAATCCAGAGCATAGGCACTTCCTTTATCAAGCTAAATATTGTATAGTGTCGTGTTGTGTTGTGTTGCATTGCATTTCTTGAGTTGAGAATTTTATTCTTTTAATAGTCTTGAAATAACATTTATGACTTGTAGAGGTATAATTTAATACTTTTAAAAAGTGTCTCTTATTATACCACAACCACCAACAAATCACAACTATTCCTATACCACATTCTATGAGCCTCCTCTTCTCCCTATATAACCAAAGATCTGTGCTCTTTATTTATGGGTTTGTTTTCATTGGTTTTTGTCTATCCGTGTGCTATAGTTCTATATAATACATATGAATGGGATGCAGCCACAGTACACATTCTCACAAACCAAGTTGAGATGTGTGCCAGTCTCCCGGGTGGAGATCCATTGTAGAATTTGCGTCCCCTTCTAATGCGTTGCTTGCATATAGAATTGCATTGGAGGTTGATGAATCCTAAGAATGTGTTCATTTCTTCTTGGTAGCTTAAAGTTTTTTGTACTAGTTTCTTATGTGTATTTTGTGTGTCTGTTCTAACTCCTCCCTTTTGTTTCTTTTTGTTTTGTTTTTGTTCTGGCGCCACACCTGCTGCTCGGGGCTTCTGGCTCTGTCCTTAGGGATTGATCCTGGAGGGTGGGTGCTATATGGGGCTTCAGGGATAGAATCCAGGTTAGCCGCAGACAAGGCAGGTATTTCCCTTCTCACTCTCTCTCTCTCTCTCTCTCTCTCTCTCTCTCTCTCTCATACACACACACACACACACACACACACACACACACACACACACACACACACATAGTACTATAGGCCCTGATTGTTAGTTTTAATTAAGAACCTTTTAGATAAAATATTACTGATCTATTTTAAGAAAGAAACTTTCATTCTAATCCTGAATTTACTTTTACAGATCAGTGCACTGTTACCCGGACATACCTGTTCCTTCACAAGTTCTGGTTCTTTAGCGCTGCGTACTATTTTGGCAACTGGGCCTTCCTTTTGGTAAGTACTGGCATCCAAGAGATAATTTGGCCCTTAATAACTTTATATCAAAGTAATACCATTGAGGGGCTGGAGCAATAGTATAGTGGGTAGGGCGTTTGCCTTGCACACAGCCGACCTGGGTTCAATCCCCAGCTTCCCATATGGTCCCCTGAACACCGCCAGGGGTGATTTCTGAGTGCATGAGCCAGGATTAACCCCCGTTTATCTCCGGGTGTGACTCAAAAAGAAAAAAAAAGTAATACGTTGGATTTTACTACTTAGCAGATGATTTAGATTTAAGAAGTAACTTGCCATCTATTCACATTCACAGGTATTCTTAATTGGATTAGTTGTGTCCTGCTGTAAAGGGAAGAAATCAGTCATTGAAGGAGTAAACGAAGATGAATCAGACCTAAGTGATGATGAGCCCTCTGCCTATTCTGTCTGACAACCTTCTTTCTCAAAGTGTTTTTTTTAAGCTGAGTGAATACCTATATGCATTTTTAAAGTATTAAACTAACATTAGAATGAATCAACTAGCTTTCATCAAACATGGGAGCATGGCTATTAAAAAAACTATTTTTTATGTTTTCTGAAGTAACAGTATTGTATCATAGATTAACATTTAAATTTGCTGTAATAATACTGTGTAAATATAAAACTACTGGCTTATGAGGGAATGTTTGTAGACATTTTTTCCTCCAATGTATAGTAGTATTAAATTTATTAAAATCTCCCAGAATTAATATTCTCTTTGTTACTTTCAAAAAACAAAATTAATCACTTGTATCTGTGCCTTTCAGTCTCTGGAGTAATGTCAAAATTTACAGTATAATTATCTGCAAATATTATTCAGAATACATATTCAGAAATACTATTCACAACAGTATTCACAATGTAGTTGATAAGTATTCCCATGTGCAACTTCTTTCCTGCACCAAATCATTAGTAACTACATAGATTTAAGGAATAGATTTCAAACTCTTTAGTGCTCTCAGACCATGGCATTCCAAGATTTAAGTTGTTCAGAAATTGATCCATTAGATAATTTTACCACCTCTTAACTATTTAAAATATTGTTTTAGGTAACTAACTTCAAATTTTGTACTCCAGCATAAATGGGGTTACTCTAAGAATAATTCAGTAAAAATGACTTCATAATCAGTAAAGGGGTGTATAATTTCTTGTTTTAAAATTCTTTTTCACCTTTTTGTTTTCATTTTAAAGATTTGGATTCAAAGTATAGGGAAAATTATATAATAATAGCGATAGCACGGCGGGTAGGGTGTTTACCTTGCACTTGGCCGACTGGGCCAATCCTGGGTTTGATTCCTCCGCCCCTCTCGGAGAGCTACTGGGAGTATCTCGCCCGCATGGCAAAGCCTGGCAAGCTACTCATGACATATTTGATATGCCAAACACAGTAACAGCAAGTCTCACAATAGAGACGTTACTCGGCCCACTCAAGCAAATTGATGAACGACGGGAGGACAGTGCTATAGTGCTACAGTTCTTTATTTTATATTTTCTTTCTTGATAAACTCACTTTCATTTCTATCTAGATTATCTCTTAGTGACCTCCAAACTTAAGTTAATTATTTTTTGATAGGGAATGGGGATGGGGCTGTCTCCCAGGCAATACACAAGAGCTCTCCACCAGTGATTCTTAGTAAACCAAGCCACCACTTCGGCTGAAGTCCTGAAGGATGAGATGCTGCATGGCCGTCAGTGCAGGGAGGATGCCCGGACCACATCCAGTGATGCTGTGGGCCTCCGGGACTATACCCTTTGCTATTTGCTGTTCGTGGGACCATCTAAAGCAGCAGTGAACCCTAGGTCAGGAGGATACCAGGCATGCACTCTAAGCACTCTGTTGTCTCCTTGCCCTTCAGTAACTGGAAATCACTTCAGTTTGTAACATGTTGAAAATTGACCTGCCTTTTTTGCTTTTACTAGACGCACCAAGCTTCCGTTTTTATTTTTTCATTTTGGACAAATGGTCCAGTACAGACCTGCTTATTTTTTACCACCTCAGTTACCTAATTTAATTAGCTCATGCTGATGTCTGCTTCCTCACCATCCCCCTCTTTTTTTTTTGTTCCCTCTTCTCCATTTTAATTGCATCTTATAGACGTGTATAATTGTGTGTCTCCAAAACCTTTATGATGGTGTCCCCAAATAGCTGAGAATATGACTTTATTTAGATATATATAAAAAGAGGTGATTAAGATCAGACGATTCCAATAGGTCAGGTTCTAATCCAATTTCATCTGGACTCTAGAAGAAGAAAAGAGACATATGTATGCATAGAGAAGAGGTCTTGTGAAGACTACAGTTAGAAGAAAAACTATTTTCAATTTAAAGAAAACTAGGGACTCCAACCCTGCTGGCACCTTCATTTTGGACTATAGAGTTTCCCCATGTGAGAAAATTAGTTGATGAGTTTTACAACTTCCAGGCATGGTATTTTGTTAAGGCAAATTTATTCTTAGAAGGATCATCAAAACTGACAGACACTTATTGAGGCTTATTAGGAAAGAGAAAGAAAACTTCATTAATACACAGGATCAGAAATTAGGGCTGGAGTGTTAGTGCAGTGGGTAGGGCACTTGTATTACATATGGCCAACCCATGTTTATTCACTGACTCATTAGCCTATGCTGTAGAAAATGACAGTGCATGCTTAGAGATCAGCACGTGACTGATCTGGGTTCAAGCCCTGCCATACATACGGTTTCCTGAGCACAGAGCCACAAGTAAGCTCTGAACATAACCAGATGTAGATCCAAAACCAAAATAAATAAAAATAAAAAGCAGGAGGAACAAGAAAAACAAGAAAGGTATATATTTAAAATATGCTCCTAATCCTTTCAGTGAATTCTAAGTGTGTCATTAACAACAATACATTTTTAGATGTTTTGTTAAAATATAATAGATTTGACTATAGCACTTAACAAAGGAAATAGCTGACAAACATTTCAAGATTGAAAAGGAGTGGTTGAGTATCTAAGAGGAAAAAGTATTAATTTTCTTTATGGAGAATGAGTGATAGGGACAGGAAGAAGGAAATCAAGAAATAAATTTTCTGTTAGGACAAAAAAGTGTGATTAAATTATGCTTTTGAAGGTAATAATAATACTGTATGATAAAGGTAAGCAAGGAGAAGCTGCATTAGACAAATTCTCTTAGGAAGTAAATAGATATTTAAAATTTTGAAATTTATAAATAGCAACATATTAAATACATCAAAAGACAGCAAAATATTAAGGATTAGAATATATCGTTGAATTCTATGAATTTTCTAACAGCTAAGAGGAAAAGATAATGCATATATACATACATAAAGGATGAAGATTTCATATTTGATAAAAGGAAGTCCACCTGTCTGCTCAGAGATGTTTCCTTCTATATAGATAGAAGTTCTATAAGTAACTACATCAGATTTTAAAGTTTTCACAGGGCAGTACATGGGTTAAGGAGCTTACCCTGCATGAGACCAACTCAGATTTGGTTTCTGGAATCACATGGGTCCCTGAGCACTGCCAGGTGTGAACTCTGAATACAGAGCCACTGGGTATGGTTCAAGACCCACTCCCCCCAAAAAAATTCAAAATTGTTTTTACAGAATACATGAAATACATAGTAAAATATACAGCATACTGAATAGGGAAAAAATGTTTGTGCACCTTACATCAGAAAATAAAGAGGTGTGTAAAGCGTTCCCCAAATCCAGCAACAAAGAAACCAATAACCCCACCAAAAAAGGGAAGAGGAAACTAGAGACTTTCCTGAAGAGGATGAGTAGGCATATGAGAAAGTGCTCATCACCTGGTGTTATCAGGAAAGTGCAAATCAGAAAGATAAGATATCTGCTATCAGTAAGAATCAAGGTCAACACAACACCCAAAAGGAGAGAGAGAACAAAAGGGAATGCCCTGCCACAGTGGCGGGGGGGGGGGGGGGGGGGGGGGGGGGGGGGGGGGGATGGGGGGATGGGGGGGGAGGGATATTATCCATGGTGGTGGAAAATGGGCACTGGTGGAGGGATGGGTATTTGATCATGGTATGACCGAAACCCAAGCACAAAAATTTGTAAGTCTACAACTGTACCTCATGGTGTTTCACTAATAAAAAAAAAAATTAAAAAAAAAAAGAATCAAGGTCAAGGTCTTCCCGTTGTTCATCCATTTGCTCGAGCGGGCCCAGTAACGTCTCCATTGGAGACTTTGTTGTTACTGTGTTTGGCATATCGAATACATCACGGGTAGCTTGCCAGGCTTGCCAGGCTCTGTCGTGCGGGTGAGATACTCTCGGTAGCTTGCTGGGCTCTCCGAGAGGGGCGGAGGAATCGAACTTGGGTCGGCCATGTTGGCTGCGTGCAAGGCAACCGACCTACCCGCTGTGCCATCGCTCCTGCTGATCAGGGGCTGGAGAGATAGCACAGTGGGTAAGGCGTTTTCCTTGCACGAGGCCAATCCGGGTTCGATTCCCAGCATCCCATATGGTTCCCTGAGCACCGGCCAGAGTAACTCCTGAGTGCAGAGCCAGGAGTAACCCCTGTGCATCGCCAGGTGTGACCCAAAAAGGAAAAAAAAAAAGGGGGCAATCTCTGGGATCCACTCTGATGCTTCCATCAGTTATCATCAGTAAGAATGACATCTAAAATGCACAAAACAATATTGGTGGGAATGTGGTTAAAAAAAAAACCCTCATTTCCTGTTGCTAGAAATGCTGTTTCTGCCTCTGGAAAACACGTGGGTATTTCTCTAGAAAGTTAGAATGAAACTCCTATATGATCCAGTGATTCCACTTTTTGGCATATACCTCCCCTGACATGAAAACATTAATTCAAAAAGATGTATTCATACCAGTGTGTGGAGCATGGTGACAGCACTGGAGCAGATAAGACCCGACCTTGCAAAGTGGCCTAGAAGCGAAGTCTCACAAGAGAGAGTCTCTGGGCAAAGTTGCAAGAACCGGATGTTTGGCCTTGAGCCAGCAACAGATGTTCCGCCTTGAGCCTCACTTGACCTCCCAGTCACATGAGCCCTAGACACAGAAACTGCCACGTGCGCTTAGCAAGTCTTCATAACTACAGCATCTAGCCTTGATTGGGACTGGACCGGGGCAAAGCAGAGTTGGAGAGGTAATAGGCCAATCATGCTGAACTTCATGTGATTGGACTTTCTTGTAAGCTGAGACACTATAAAATATGTGTGTATTTGGCAATAAAGGGAACAGCCATCAGCTACTCCCAGAGGGTGTTTCTCCTAGCGCCCAGCATCCTTCACCCCACGTCTGCCCGGACTTGGTGCACAACGCGTCCAGGCACATTGGGAGAAAAACTTTTCCCCAACAGCAGTGTTCATTGTAATACTTAGTACAATAGCAGTGTATAGAAACAATTTAGATGCTCTATGACGAATGAATGGATAAGATGTGATTTCTGTATGCAATGGAATACTGTTAAGATGCAACATGGATGGAACCAGAGGATATCATGTTAAGTGAAATGCATCAGGAATGTGGATAATTCACTCATTTGTGGTATGTAAAGAAGCAAAACAAGGAAACAGTATCTAAGAATGACAACCCTTGACCTTCAACTACAAAACTGAGATTACCGAAAGAGGGTGTGTGGAGGGCTGGGAGATGGAAGCCACAACGAGATGGAGTAGAAATAAAAAGAATAGGAATGAAACGTTTTGGGCTCCATTTTTTAAAAAAAAGTTTTATTAGTGAAACACCATGAGGTACAGTTGTAGACTTACAAATTTTTGTGCTGGGTTGCAGTT